CTCGTAGGTGCCTGCGGCGGAGCCTCAGTAGGAGCCGACGGCGGGGCCACGTCAAACCGGGGGCGGGGCCGCGTCAGAACCAGCGGCGTGGCCCCGTCGCGGTGGCCGATGGGGCCGTGTAGGAGCCGGCGGCGAGGCCGGGTAAGTGCCGGCGGCGGGGCCGCGTCAGAGGAGGTGGCGGGCCGCGACTGGGTGGGCGGCGGGGCCGCGATTAGGAGAAGGGTCGGGGCCGCGTCTGAAGGACTGCGGGGCCACGAGAGAAAATGCGACCCGAGGGTGGGGTCGCTAAAAAAAAATTCGCGCCTCGGGGGGCGCGCTTCGGTGGGCCGTTAAAAAAAAAATCGGTCCTTGGGAAGGACTCGCTCTATACCATGTGAAATAGAAAACAGGAATGAGAATGACTATGAACGAAATGGGTACAAATAGGAAACCTAATTGGGTTGTACCCCTTATGGGATACCCCACTGTAGCCTACACAAACAAGTAAGCTATATGTTCTGACACTGCTGAGCTTGGAGGTCTGGAGCCTGCGGCCACTGGACCTCCCCTTGTGCCGTCTGGCGGTGCTGGGCCTGGAGGTTCTCCGGGTGCTTCGTCTCGGCGGGAGCCACTCTCTCCACAGGAGCTGCGCGAGTGGTTTGCTCGCCGCTGGAGGCGTACTGTTGGAGCTGGAGCTTCTTTGACCGCTGAAGGTGCTGGTGCCGCCGGTCCGGGAGCTGCTGGGCCTGCGGGTCCGCCTGGAGCTGGAGCTGCTGAGAGTGTTGGTTGTGAGACTACTACTGTCCGTCCTGGCGGTGGTCTTGCTGCGGGTGCTGCTGGTGCTGCTGGAGGTCCTGCCGCTGGAGGTGCTGTTGGCGCTGGTGCTGCCAGAGTTGCTGAGGGTGCTGGTTTTGTCCCTGCGGTGTCTGGAGCCGCCGCGCGGCCTCGTCCGTACTTCGTTCCGCTCCTGCAGCAGGTTCTTCGTCCTTCTCCTCCTGTAGAGTGTCCACCGCCTGTCCAGTCCCAATCACAAATAGAGCCCGCCTCCCCACTTCCTGCTCCCTCTCCTTACACTGGTCCTACTGGAGGTCTTGCTGAGCGTCGTGAAACTGCGTCTCGTCCCGCGTCGCCTGTTTGTCCTGCTCGCGCTAGTGGTCGTGGTTCTCGTCAGTGTCCTCCTCCTGTCCCTCGCACGCACCGGATGTCTCTGCATCCGTCCACTGCTCCTCTGCGTGCCCCTTTGCCTTCTCCTCCTAAGTCCTCTCTTCCTGCGCTTGCCGACTCGGAGTCGGACTCCCTTCGTGCTGCTAGTCCTACTGTCATGCGTCTCCTTGCTACTGTCGTCACTGGCCCCTCTTTTGAGTCCACTGCTGCGTCTGCTCTAGTTGCTGAGCTCGTCGACTTTGCTGCTCACTGTCGTCTGGACTACGCTGCTAGTCTTCTTGCTGAGTCTTCGTCTGTCTGTCCTCCGTCCGTCGGGGGTGAGTGTGCTCTTGGCACGGACGTCCTTGAGGATAGGCAGGAGGAGTTCCAGTGTCTGGCTGCTGCTTCACCTCGTCTCGCGTCCGTACTACTTGCCCTTGAGGGAGACCCGGATGCGCTAGAAATCCCGACTCCGCGCTCTTACGCGGAGGCCGTAGAGGGTCCCTACTCCTCTCAGTGGCAGGCAGCTATGGATGCAGAGATGGCTTCCTGGAAGTCCACAGGCACCTACGTTGACGCGGTTCCCCCTTCTAGGGCAAACATCGTCAGTGGCATGTGGATCTTCAGGGTGAAGCGGCCGCCGGGCTCTCCACCTGTCTTCAAGGCGCGGTACGTCGCTCGTGGCTTCAGTCAGCGGCAGGGAGTTGACTACTTTCAGACCTTCTCTCCCACCCCGAAGATGACCACTCTTCGGGTGCTGCTGCACATAGCCGCTCAGCGCGACTACGAGCTTCACTCTCTTGACTTCAGCACTGCTTTCTTCCAGGGTAGCCTGCACGAAGAGATCTGGCTGCGCCGTCCACCTGGCTTCACTGGGACTTTCCCTCCTGGCACCCATTGGAGCCTCCGACGGCCAGTCTACGGTCTCCGCCAGGCACCACGTGAGTGGCACGATACACTAAGGACTACGCTTGCGGCTCTTGGGTTTGCTCCCTCTACTGCTGACCCGTCGTTGTTTCTGCGCACTGACACTTCTCTGCCGCCGTTCTACATCCTCGTGTACGTCGACGACTTGGTCTTTTCCACAGGGGACACTGCTGGACTCGCCTACGTGAAGTCCGAGCTGCATAAGAGACACACGTGCACAGACCTGGGTGAACTGCGCAGCTACCTTGGCTTGCAGATCACTCGGGACAGAGCACGCCGCACCATTACCTTGACTCAGTCACACATGGTGCAGCAGGTCCTTCAGCGCTTCGGCTTCTCGTACTCCTCGCCTCAGGCCACTCCTCTGTCTACTCGCCACTCGCTCTCAGCTCTGCCTTCGGATGAGTCCGTAGAGTCGAGTGGCCCGTACCCAGAGCTTGTTGGCTGCCTCATGTACCTGATGACTTGCACACGACCTGACCTTGCATACCCTCTTAGCATTCTTGCACGCTGTGTTGCTCCTGGGAGACACCGACCAGAGCACATGGCTGCAGCGAAGAGGATGTTGCGCTACTTGTGCAGTACGTCGGGCATGGGGCTAGTGCTTGGAGGGCGAAGTCTAGTGGTTCTCACTGGGCACGCGGACGCTTCTTGGGCTGACGACCAGGCTACTCAGCGGTCGTCACAGGGTTACACCTTCAGTCTTGGTTCCGGCTCTGTTTCGTGGCGGGCTACTCGCTCGTCTTCTGTTCTCGCCTCCAGTTGTGAGGCTGAGATCTACGCCAGGGCCATGGCTGCTCAGGAGCTTCGCTGGCTCACCTACCTGCTGACTGACTTTGGAGAGCCGCCTCGTTCTCCTCCAATGCTGTACGTAGACAACAAGGCCATGCTGGCCTTGTGTCGAGAGCAGCGCTTGGAGCACAGAACGAAGCACATTGCTCTCCGCTACTTTCTTGCTGGTGAGCTGCAGCAGCGCGGTCAGTTGCGACTTGCGTACGTGGCCTTTGAGGCCAACACTGCTGATGTTGTCACCAAGGCACTTCCGCCTTGTGATCATCAGCGCTTCTGCACTCAGCTGGGACTTGTACCTGTCTTACCTCACTTGCTCACCTCTTGATCTTACTTGTATTCTTGCATATATATATACCTGCTCTTGCTTGTTTAGTGTTATATATATATATACATATATGTGCACTCCTGCATGTGAACTGGCCTTGTGGCCTTGACCTTGTGCTCGGACTGTGTGGTGACTTCGTGATCCATGCTGAGCTTTCTTTGCTTGACTGGTCTTGTGACCCCTTGTTCTCCCCCACTTTGCCTATGGGGGTGTGTCAGAACATATAGCTTGTGCATATTGTATAGGCTATAGTGGGGTAGCCCATAAGGGGTACAACCCAATTAGGGTTAGTACTTGTACTCAGTTCATTCATAATTCATTCATTCTTGTTCAACTCTTCTCAAAGTGCCGTCAGAGTAGAAAAAAAAATGTTCGGGTCAAAAACAGGGAGGGGTTTTTTGAAACGTCAGCCCTCGCAGCCAGTCAGGTCTTGGAGATCCAAACTAAGCGAAAATGAGATCACATTCGCTAACGATTTGAACAGAATTTTTTATTTAAACTTGTACATGCACTTATAATATGTAATGTTTTCACAGGGGGTGCGCTTATAATTGAGGATTGGCCATAAGCGCATTGCTCCAGATAGAAGCGCATGCGCTTATTATAGGCCTGCGCTTCTATCCAGGGTGATACGGTACTAGATCGCACTAGCTTGTGTTCAATGTTGATGCAAATGTTGTAATAAGCCATCTGTAATAAATAAGTCATTTGTAATATCCCACATTGATACCGTAATCAGGGTTAAAACACAAGATAAGCCCTGCTCAAATTCCTGCTATTGCTTTCTCTTTCTGCCAAGAAATGTCTGCTCGCCTGTAGCAGCAGATGACAGGGTCACACAACTCACTGAACTCACACTCTTACTCGCCCCCCGCCCGCTGCTGCTGCCCTGTGATATTACCAAGGGGTGAGAATAACGACAGTAACCGTGCTTCAGCGTCTGCTACTGCCTCTAAGCCTGCCTTTGCCTCTGCCTGTGGCGCTGCCTTAGTTCCTGCCTTTGTCCCTGCCTTAGTTCCTGCCTGTGTCCCAGCCATTGTCCCTGCCTTTGTCCCTGTACTAATATCTGCCATTGACCCTGCTTTTGAGGTGAAAGCAATTGCACTTTGAGACGACTCCAAATACATTTCGTTCTGTGCTGATCCTGCCGCTACCACTGCTTCTGCTGCCGCCGCCGCCGCTGCTGCTCCTGTTGCTTCTTCTGCCCGAATTCTCGCGTTGGAGGGGTTAAAAACTGTTCTTTGTGTCGACACTGCTGCCATTGCTGCTGCTCCTCGTGGTGCTGCTTCTGCCGACGTTGCTGCTGCTCCTGAAGCTGCTGCCACTGCCGACGCGGCTGCTGCTGCCCAGATGCTGGCGATTGTGGGAAGGGCAGTTGCGGTGGACCGAGGTGAGAAAAGGCAAGCTGGGGATAGAGGCTTCTTTTGAGGCGACTCAAAAGCCGTGGTAAGGGCAGCTGCGGCAGGCTGAAGGGGAAAAGGACGAGCTGGAGATAGAAGTTTCTTCTGAGGCGGCTCAGAGGTCGTGGGAAGGGCAGTTGCGGCGGGCCGCGGGGGGAGAAGCCGGGCGGGAGATTGAGAGGGGGGGTGGGATCCAAGGACAGCAGCATACGTTGTTCCTCTCCCATCCAGCCGCCTCCTCTTCGCACCTCCCATGCTCGCCTCGTTCAGAGAGCCGCCTGCTGGCCTGACATTCAAAAGACCTCTCATTCGACTCCCAAAGATTCCTTTCATCACGTCTGCATCACCGCTTGCGCTTAGCACACCCTTTCCTTTCATTTTCAGGTCCGCCTCACCTCTGGAACTTAGCACTGGCTTTCCACTCGCACGTAGCACTACCTGGTCTCTGCCACTAGCCTCTGCCTGTCCACGTGGCCTTGTCTCAGCATCAGCAGCGCTCTGAGGCCCCAAACTCACACCACTCTTTCTCCCATCTGCGCCCCACTTAGTCACACGCCCTTTAGTCACGTGCCAATCAGTCACACCGGCAGCAGCCACACTTTTTGGCCTTTGCTGCTTGTCTGACGCCTTTTCTTTCGCGCTCTCATTGCTTCCATACACCTCCGTCCCTTCCATATTCCCCTTCTTGTCCGCTCTGGTTTCCTCAACTGCCCCTTCAACTGCCCCTTCAGTTGCCCTTTCAGTTCCCCCTTCCTGTTGCTGCTGCCTCTGCTGCTGCTCAAGCTGCCTTTGCTGCTGCTGTCGTTCCCCCTCCCACTCTGCTTGTTCCAGCCTGTGTAATTGCAGCAGCTGCTGCTGAAGCTTCTCTCTCTCTTGATCCTTCAGGTGAGAATTCACTTGCTCCTGCTCACTCTCTTGCTGCTGCTGTTCCCCCTCCCGCTCTGCTTGTTCCAGCCGGTGTAATTCCAACAGCTGCTGCTGCAGCTTGTGAAAAGCCCCTGCTTCTCCCCTCTCTCCCTTTCGTGCCTGCTCTGCCTCCTCTCCTTTGCATTGCTCCCTCTGAAGCTGCTGCTGCTGCTGCTGCTGCTGCTGCTGCTGCTGCTGCTGCTGCTGCTGCTGCTGCTGCTGCTGTTGTTTCTGCTGTAGTTGCTGCTCCTGCTGCTGCTGTTGCTGCTGCAGCAGCTCTTCACATGTTTCTTTCCCTTGTCGACAACCCATCTCGTTCACTTCCTCCCGCTGCCCCTTCTCCCAGTCTCCGACTTTTTGCTTCAACCCATCCCCACTTTCCCCCTTCTCCCAATCCTCCTCTTCCTCCTTCCTTTCCTCCTCTTGCACCGTCCACCCCTCAACCACACACACAGGGGGTGGCACTGACTCTCCAGAAAACCCACATGCGTCCCACGCAACCCTCCTAACCCTCTTCCTCTCTCGCCCTTCCCCACACCCCTCCCCATCATCACTACGCTCCTCTGTGGTTAAGTCCGGCCAGGCTTGCACCAGACCCGCCCCACCCTTGCCCCATGACCACACACCCCTCCTCACTGCACCACCTGCTGCTGTTGCAGTAACTGCAGCAGCAGTAGCAGCAGGAGCAGCAGCAGCAGGAGCAGCAGCAGCAGGAGCAGCAGCAGCAGGAGCAGCAGGAGCAGGAACAGCAGCATTATCAGTCGCAGCATCATTAGCAGCAGCAGCAAAAACAATGCTAGAGCAACCCCCAAGTGGCATTTGTGTGCGAGAGACAGAGACCCAGGGAGCAGCAGTGGCAGCAGCCGCACTGCTAGAGCAGCCCCCGAGGGACAGGGAGAGGCTCAGATCGACCACTTCAGAGTGGGGAGCTGAGGACGAGCACGCGAAGGGGTTTGAGAGGGGTACTGGACGGTTGGGAGGATAGTCGGGGAATCGACGAGCCTGAAACGGCTGATACCTCCACTGCTGCCAGGTCGGTGGAGGTATATCTGGTGCGGGTATTTCTGGTGGAGGTACATCTGGTGGAGGTATATTTGATGAGGGCATATCTGATGGAGGGTTGGTGGTATACGTGGTCGACGGAAGAGCTTTGAATGGTTGGTAGCCCATCTGCCAGGTATGAGAACGTATATCTGGTGGAGGTATGTCTGGTGGAGGTATAACTGTTGGGATGTCCGCATCTAAAGGTGCCCGCTCCTCCCGTTCCCACAGAGCGTCCATACCACGCCCAGTGCCCCTCTCTCTGCTGCCACTCGACCTGCTTCTCAGCCGCCCACCCCGTGCCATCTCCCGTGAAAACAGCGGCAGCAACATCGACCCCTTCTCTGCCTGCTTCCCTGCCATAACATCGTCTCTCACCGCTCTCACTACTCTCTCTTCTCTCACTCCTCTCATAAACCCACCTGTTAGAATAGCCTTGCCATTCTCTCCCCTGCCAACCATCAATCCTATTTTAGGCGATTCAAAAGCGCTGTCATCACTCATCCCTCCCTCTCGGTTCTCTCCCCTCAAACCGCTCACCCCTCCCTTCTCCTTCGTCTCCTCTGTTTCTCCCGACGACGAAGGCCCACTATCCTGATCCGTTCCCCCTGCACTCTCCACGTCAGCAGAGCTGAAAGATCTCAGCCGTTGATTACTCCGCCCCCCTTGCGCCCCCTGCTGCCCTTCCTGCTCCAGCCGCTCTTGCTGCAGCTGCTGCTGCTCCAGGTGCAAGAGCAGGAACTGCTGCCGCAAAAACTGCTGCCGATGCACAAGCAGACGTTGAGCTTCTGCCTCCACAGCAGCGTATGCTTGTAGCTGCAGCTGCTGCTGGTGTAAAATTGCCTGCCGCTGCAGCAAATGCTGCTGCTGCTCCTGCTCTTGCTGCTGAATGGGGAAGAGTTGGTGGTGGCTGTGCTGCTGTTGTTGCTGGTGCTGCTGTTGCTGCTGCTGTTGTTGATGGTGCTGGTGCTGTACGTGATTATGGTGTTGTCCCTGCTCTTGCTCCTGGTGCTGCATTGAAAGGAAATGGTGCTGCTGCTGCTGGTACTGGTGCTGCTGCAGGACCAAGTGCTCTTGCTTCTGCTGCTGCTGTTGTCGTTGCTGCTGCCGCTCTGCGTGTTGCGATAGCAGCTCCTTTCCCCATTGCTCCTCCTGTCGCTGTTGCTGCTGCTCCTGTCGCTGCTGCTGCTGCTTCCACAGTATTTTCTGCTGAGCAACACACTCCTCCCCAATCAACAAGTCCAGGCGCGGATCCTCCAGCCCTAGAATAGACCGTTCCAGCACTCCCATACCCTCACACCCCCATACGCCAGCAGCATCACCCTCCAAACCATTGGCCCCCATACAATCATCCCCCATAACATCCAACGCCAGCACACCGCCACGGTCCACCAAACCCTTCCCCAGGCCCATGTCCCTGACGCCCTTCGTCCCAGGACTTGTCTCAACCGAAGCCTTCCCCAGGTCTGGCTTCACAGGGAGTTGCGGCGTCTCAAACTCCACCTCGTGCTCCGACACCCACGGATGGGCGACAATTGACTTCTGAGGTGCCTCAACAGCCGCCTTGTTTACGGATAGCCAGGGGTGGGAGAGGACTTGGTGGGCCGTGGGGCGGGCAGCGGGGTCGAGGGAGAGCATGGCGCGGAGGAGGGCCTTGGCGGCGGGCGAGAGGGCGACGCACGCGGGCGAGGAGAGGTCGAGACGGCCCGAGCAGATGGCCTCGAAGGTCTGCAGAGACGTGGCTCCCCAGAAGGGCACGAAGCCTGGGAGCGAGGAGAGATGGGGAGGGGAGGGAGGGGGGTGGAAGAGGGACTAGATGGTGAGGGATGGGAGTGAGTGAGTGAAGGGGAGAAGAGCAGATGGCTTTGAAGGTCTGCAGGGAAGTGCCTCCCAGCGCACGAAGCCTGCGAGCGGAAGGAGGGGGTGGTGGGATGGGGGAGTTGGTGTTGAGGATGGAGGAGAGGGGGAGGGTGGGGGGGGGAGGGTACGATGACTTGGAGGGTCCGTCAGAGGGCTTGAGAGAGGATAAATCCCAGAGGCTCTCACCACACGCTGTGCTTTGAGTCGACTCAAAGTCTGACCACATGTCAAGCCCTGCTGGTCCGGCAGCTCCAAAGACGCTCAACATCCACCAGGGCAAATCCTTAGCCAAACCAGACCAAACTGCACAAAACCGCACCAAACCGCACCTGAGAGCATGATGTAGAGGATGACCCCAAGGCTCCACACGTCTGCTGGCAGACCGTACCTGCCGCCCCGAACCACCTCTGGAGCCATGTAGTACGAGCTGCCGACCCTCCCCCGAGCCTCAGCGCCAGGCTGGGTGTGCAGGAACAGAGCAAGGCCGAAATCGCCTAGCCTCATGAGGAGACTGGTTGGAGGAACCGGCGGGGTGGCTGGAGCAGGAGAAGCAGGAGCAGCAGAAGTGCTAGCGTTGGTGCAAGCATTGGGAGAGGTTGTATGAGCAGCAGCAGGAGAAGGTGGAGGTGGTGCAGCAGGATCGAGGGTGAGGAAGATGTTTTCCGGCTTGATGTCCCGGTGGATGATGCCAAGGCCGTGACAGCCCGCCACTGCCACCACTATCTGCCTGCACGGGGAAAAGACATGGCGACACGGGGAACAAGACAAGATTGAAGCTTTGTGGGTGAGCAGAGAGAGCGGGAAAGGACGGACGGCGTTCTCCGGCTATGGACCGTACCTGAAGAGACGTCAATCCCTGTGGACCATACCTGAAGAGACGTCAATCCCTGTGGACCATACCTGAAGAGACGTCAATCCCTGTGGACCATACCTGAAGAGACGTCAATCCCTGTGGACCATACCTGAAGAGACGTCAATCCCTGTGGACCATACCTGAAGAGACGTCAGTCCCTGTGGACCATACCTGAAGAGACGTCAATCCCTGTGAAGCGCACCTGAAGAGGCAGGTGGCGTGGGGCTCGGGCATGCCGTTGAAGTGCGCGATGTAGTCGAAGAGGTCGCCGTGGCCGCACGCCTCCATCACCACGTGCACGGCGTGGGGCTCCTCTATCACCTGCTCCACGCGCACCACGCACGGCAGCCCACGCACTGCCAGCAGCACGTCCACTTCGGATCGCAGGGAGTCTATGTGCTGCGCGGACTGGCGATGAGGAAGGGTGGAGGGCGGGAAGGACATGGGAAGGACGGGAATGGAGACGTGACCATAAACACGTGTGCGTGCAGGCAGAGCGTGGGGCTCCGCACCCACCTCCTCCACTCGCACAACGCACGGCAGCTCCCCCACAGCATTATATGCGCCTCAGGATTCATGCGAGGAGGACACGAGCGCTGTGTAGACTTGGTAGGCGAGCATGAGACGGTACTTTAAGGGTGCAGGTGCACGGTGCCAATGATGCGTATAGGGATAGATGCGACTGCCGAAGTTGATAATAACGAAGGTGCAAATGCCACTGCGGAAGCTGTTCGGCTTTCAGCAGCTGGAATATTCAGAGTAGTGAATATAAAGTTGTCCGCGGTTTCCGTGAAGCACCTAGCCTCGGGATTAACCGCGGGTTTGACTGGAGCCGCGACAGCAAAGCAGGCCAGCTTCCGAGGCGCCTCAAAAGTGGCCGCGGCAGCAAAAAGGTCAGCACGTTGGCTTGGATTCGGGAAAGTCGCAATTCTATATCCGAGCTTGAAAGAAACGAGATAAATAACCGTTAAAGCTTACGCGATGATATCGCGGCCATAAATTCAAGAGACACCTTTGGCACGTAAAGAATAGACGACGGAGACTCAGCGGACGGCGACGCACGTGACGCACCTGCAACGAGCTCTTGCTTATGGACTTGCACACGAACGGTCGATTGGACGCTCTATGTCTACACCTCCGCACGACGCCGAAACGACCCCGACCTATTTCCTCATTTTCCAGCAGAAAACTCCGGTGAAGAGAACCGGAAAATTGAGGCGACAGCAGCCGCGGAGGGGTTAATGACCCTCCTGGGAATCCCTGTAGGCTGCTTAGTGCTCCCAAAGCGTGCTGTACTAATAGGTCTGGAGGTGCCGACCCCATTTCCGGTCTTCTTGATAGTATCAACAGAATAATGAAATAATACCTAAAATAATAATAATAATAATAAGTCACGATTACGACGGCTTCTTAACAACGTCGAAGCTGCTACCGTTGACCGACATGGCGATGATACGCAAATGGCAACTAACAGATACCCGCGATGCTACAGCCTACTTTAGGAGCTCTAAGGCGACGTTTAGGGTCCAACGTGTGCTGTAAGGCGATGTTAGGCGATTAGGGTTCCAACGGAATTAGTCGAGGAGTCCATGTTGGATAGCTAGTTCTGACAGGTAAACTCGGGGTCCACCAGATTTGACCCCACGGCTGAAGTCCAGGCGCAAGCGGAGTAGGGGGGGCGCGCAGGTTGAGCAAATCGAAGTGGGTGGGGGAACGCGAGGACGCGATCTTTTTCGGTCTGAACAAGGTTTCCGCGAAAAGGGTATCCTGCTCACCTTTCGGACCCGTCCCAGCTCGTTATCAAATTGGAGGCCATGCGAGGATCCACCAAAGCGGAATACTGTTTGCGAAGAGTTCGGACTGTCAAAAGTCAGAAAGCTACACACCAGCTGATGCGGAGAGCATCGGAGGTTCGGGAATGAAAAAACCTGATGATGACGTGGCGTGGCGAGGCGAGGTACAGTAAAAAACTTAGGGAGGTGGGTGAGGATGGTACGGGACAGATTTGAGAAACTGTACATAAAGTGCGGAAAGTGAAGCATGGATGAATGCGGAAAGTGGAGTATGGATCGATTACTGTTCCTTGAACATGAGGTGCACATCCCCCCCCCCCCCCCCCCCCCCCCCCCCCCCCCCATGGCGAAAAGGACCGAAGATTCTTCCCCCATGGCGAAAAGTACAATATCAAGGATAAAGATCAGCGGGCCTGGTTGTGTGGTGAAAAGTGATGTCAAGGGATGGTGTAAAGAAGGCAGTTTGGATGCGGTCAAGCCGTTGGGGAAATTCGCATGCAGGGTAGCTTTTATGTAAAAAGGGTTCTGGCAAGAAACTGTTGGTTGGTGTTTAAAACCGGAGTCCCAAACAGCCCAAAACTGCCCAAAACTGTTGGTTGGGTGTGACCCAGTAGATACCGAGCTCTCCTCGTATGTCGTTGGGACAGTTTTCGCCAAGCAAAGTCATTGTATTCGAGAGGACGATAGAAGTGCCGTTTAGCAAAAAAGAATTGAAGCCCGTTCGGAACAGCATGCGAACGAGTTACGACATTGCATTCCGGATCACCATTCCCAAGCAACCTTTCTAACCTAACTTAGACACTTTTGGACATACGGTTTAACTGCACATTTTGATGAGTTCTTCAAAAGAAGTATGAGGGCGGCCGACACATCAAAATTAAATGCGAGCGACGGGTGAAACGTCTGAATAGCGCCGGTAGGAAGAACACTGTTAAATTTAAAAAAAAAAAAAAAAAAAAAAAAAACCAACAACAACGACAACGTCATCGCTTGGACGGTGCCGACTTCGTGGTCGGATATGAGGAATGCAGCCGACCTGTAGCAGTGAGCGAGCTGGTCGACGGGGTTGGTCGACCTGCACGGGGACCAAGCAAGGGCGCGGACTTTGGGAGGACGCCGTCTTCAGGTGGTCGACATCGGTGGCGTCGAATTGGTGACGCTGACCCGGGGAAACCAATTGGGTGTGGTTGGCTGACAGATGTGCTGGTCGACCTATAACTAGCCAGCGAGGAGTCTCGTCAAACTAGAGCTGGTCGACCAGGGGTTTGTGGTCGTCGATTTGGGTGGTCCAAGGGCACGCGAAGGAGGAGCTGGTCGACGTGGTTTCCAGGTCGACCAGGTTATCAGAGTAATGAGGTTCTGTTGAGAAGTACGACGGTCTCTCAGGTGACATTGGCGAGACCGTCCTTAATGGTGGTATCCCGAGGTCGACGTGGCTGATCAGATGCAGTCGTCAGCACGAGGTCGATCTGGTGTGTGTGCTGTGCATGTGACAAGGTACGTCACGCCAAACATCTGCGAGCACCTCCGAAGCAGGTGCGCTGCTGTCCTGCTCGAGCAACGTTGGCACGCCATCGACTTTCAGCGTTGGCGGGCCGCGACTGTGCACTACTGGAGCACGGACGACCAAGTTGTGCTGTAACGTGGTCGACCGTGTTGCACTGGCAGTCATCCTGCTTGCATGCTAGCGTCTGATGTAGTCTTGCTTGCCAACTTCTTTGTACCATTGTTGTCATGTTTTCCTAGTGAAACTCTTGCCAATTCTCCCCATTAACTAGTAAGTAGTGAGAGCCCAGGAAAACGACTAAGGAACGAACGCAGAGATCACTTCTATCCCGTGCCTAGTCCGTAGTCTAGCTCCCGTTGAATTAGTTATCTTCGCATGGTGCGGTGAGCGTGGAAGGCACCGCAACAATATCTTCAGTATAGCCGACTTTGCATTTACCTATTGTGTTCGTGGGCCGGCAGCTGTGTGAGCGTCAGTATGGTAAGATCGAGGGTGAGGAAGATGTTTTCCGGCTTGATGTCCCGGTGGATGATGCCAAGGCCGTGACAGCCCGCCACTGCCACCACTATCTGCCTGCACGGGGAAAAGACATGGCGACACGGGGAACAAGACAAGATTGAAGCTTTGTGGGTGAGCAGAGAGAGCGGGAAAGGACGGACGGCGTTCTCCGGCTATGGACCGTACCTGAAGAGACGTCAATCCCTGTGGACCATACCTGAAGAGACGTCAATCCCTGTGGACCATACCTGAAGAGACGTCAATCCCTGTGGACCATACCTGAAGAGACGTCAATCCCTGTGGACCATACCTGAAGAGACGTCAATCCCTGTGGACCATACCTGAAGAGACGTCAATCCCTGTGGACCATACCTGAAGAGACGTCAATCCCTGTGAAGCGCACCTGAAGAGGCAGGTGGCGTGGGGCTCGGGCATGCCGTTGAAGTGCGCGATGTAGTCGAAGAGGTCGCCGTGGCCGCACGCCTCCATCACCACGTGCACGGCGTGGGGCTCCTCTATCACCTGCTCCACGCGCACCACGCACGGCAGCCCACGCACTGCCAGCAGCACGTCCACTTCGGATCGCAGGGAGTCTATGTGCTGCGCGGACTGGCGATGAGGAAGGGTGGAGGGCGGGAAGGACATGGGAAGGACGGGAATGGAGACGTGACCATAAACACGTGTGCGTGCAGGCAGAGCGTGGGGCTCCGCACCCACCTCCTCCACTCGCACAACGCACGGCAGCTCCCCCACAGCATTATATGCGCCTCAGGATTCATGCGAGGAGGACACGAGCGCTGTGTAGACTTGGTAGGCGAGCATGAGACGGTACTTTAAGGGTGCAGGTGCACGGTGCCAATGATGCGTATAGGGATAGATGCGACTGCCGAAGTTGATAATAACGAAGGTGCAAATGCCACTGCGGAAGCTGTTCGGCTTTCAGCAGCTGGAATATTCAGAGTAGTGAATATAAAGTTGTCCGCGGTTTCCGTGAAGCACCTAGCCTCGGGATTAACCGCGGGTTTGACTGGAGCCGCGACAGCAAAGCAGGCCAGCTTCCGAGGCGCCTCAAAAGTGGCCGCGGCAGCAAAAAGGTCAGCACGTTGGCTTGGATTCGGGAAAGTCGCAATTCTATATCCGAGCTTGAAAGAAACGAGATAAATAACCGTTAAAGCTTACGCGATGATATCGCGGCCATAAATTCAAGAGACACCTTTGGCACGTAAAGAATAGACGACGGAGACTCAGCGGACGGCGACGCACGTGACGCACCTGCAACGAGCTCTTGCTTATGGACTTGCACACGAACGGTCGATTGGACGCTCTATGTCTACACCTCCGCACGACGCCGAAACGACCCCGACCTATTTCCTCATTTTCCAGCAGAAAACTCCGGTGAAGAGAACCGGAAAATTGAGGCGACAGCAGCCGCGGAGGGGTTAATGACCCTCCTGGGAATCCCTGTAGGCTGCTTAGTGCTCCCAAAGCGTGCTGTACTAATAGGTCTGGAGGTGCCGACCCCATTTCCGGTCTTCTTGATAGTATCAACAGAATAATGAAATAATACCTAAAATAATAATAATAATAATAAGTCACGATTACGACGGCTTCTTAACAACGTCGAAGCTGCTACCGTTGACCGACATGGCGATGATACGCAAATGGCAACTAACAGATACCCGCGATGCTACAGCCTACTTTAGGAGCTCTAAGGCGACGTTTAGGGTCCAACGTGTGCTGTAAGGCGATGTTAGGCGATTAGGGTTCCAACGGAATTAGTCGAGGAGTCCATGTTGGATAGCTAGTTCTGACAGGTAAACTCGGGGTCCACCAGATTTGACCCCACGGCTGAAGTCCAGGCGCAAGCGGAGTAGGGGGGGCGCGCAGGTTGAGCAAATCGAAGTGGGTGGGGGAACGCGAGGACGCGATCTTTTTCGGTCTGAACAAGGTTTCCGCGAAAAGGGTATCCTGCTCACCTTTCGGACCCGTCCCAGCTCGTTATCAAATTGGAGGCCATGCGAGGATCCACCAAAGCGGAATACTGTTTGCGAAGAGTTCGGACTGTCAAAAGTCAGAAAGCTACACACCAGCTGATGCGGAGAGCATCGGAGGTTCGGGAATGAAAAACCTGATGATGACGTGGCGTGGCGAGGCGAGGTACAGTAAAAAACTTAGGGAGGTGGGTGAGGATGGTACGGGACAGATTTGAGAAACTGTACATAAAGTGCGGAAAGTGAAGCATGGATGAATGCGGAAAGTGGAGTATGGATCGATTACTGTTCCTTGAACATGAGGTGCACATCCCCCCCCCCCCCCCCCCCCCCCCCCCCCCCCCCCCATGGCGAAAAGGACCGAAGATTCTTCCCCCATGGCGAAAAGTACAATATCAAGGATAAAGATCAGCGGGCCTGGTTGTGTGGTGAAAAGTGATGTCAAGGGATGGTGTAAAGAAGGCAGTTTGGATGCGGTCAAGCCGTTGGGGAAATTCGCATGCAGGGTAGCTTTTATGTAAAAAGGGTTCTGGCAAGAAACTGTTGGTTGGTGTTTAAAACCGGAGTCCCAAACAGCCCAAAACTGCCCAAAACTGTTGGTTGGGTGTGACCCAGTAGATACCGAGCTCTCCTCGTATGTCGTTGGGACAGTTTTCGCCAAGCAAAGTCATTGTATTCGAGAGGACGATAGAAGTGCCGTTTAGCAAAAAGAATTGAAGCCCGTTCGGAACAGCATGCGAACGAGTTACGACATTGCATTCCGGATCACCATTCCCAAGCAACCTTTCTAACCTAACTTAGACACTTTTGGACATACGGTTTAACTGCACATTTTGATGAGTTCTTCAAAAGAAGTATGAGGGCGGCCGACACATCAAAATTAAATGCGAGCGACGGGTGAAACGTCTGAATAGCGCCGGTAGGAAGAACACTGTTAAATTTAAAAAAAAAAAAAAAAAAAAAAAACCAACAACAACGACAACGTCATCGCTTGGACGGTGCCGACTTCGTGGTCGGATATGAGGAATGCAGCCGACCTGTAGCAGTGAGCGAGCTGGTCGACGGGGTTGGTCGACCTGCACGGGGACCAAGCAAGGGCGCGGACTTTGGGAGGACGCCGTCTTCAGGTGGTCGACATCGGTGGCGTCGAATTGGTGACGCTGACCCGGGGAAACCAATTGGGTGTGGTTGGCTGACAGATGTGCTGGTCGACCTATAACTAGCCAGCGAGGAGTCTCGTCAAACTAGAGCTGGTCGACCAGGGGTTTGTGGTCGTCGATTTGGGTGGTCCAAGGGCACGCGAAGGAGGAGCTGGTCGACGTGGTTTCCAGGTCGACCAGGTTATCAGAGTAATGAGGTTCTGTTGAGAAGTACGACGGTCTCTCAGGTGACATTGGCGAGACCGTCCTTAATGGTGGTATCCCGAGGTCGACGTGGCTGATCAGATGCAGTCGTCAGCACGAGGTCGATCTGGTGTGTGTGCTGTGCATGTGACAAGGTACGTCACGCCAAACATCTGCGAGCACCTCCGAAGCAGGTGCGCTGCTGTCCTGCTCGAGCAACGTTGGCACGCCATCGACTTTCAGCGTTGGCGGGCCGCGACTGTGCACTACTGGAGCACGGACGACCAAGTTGTGCTGTAACGTGGTCGACCGTGTTGCACTGGCAGTCATCCTGCTTGCATGCTAGCGTCTGATGTAGTCTTGCTTGCCAACTTCTTTGTACCATTGTTGTCATGTTTTCCTAGTGAAACTCTTGCCAATTCTCCCCATTAACTAGTAAGTAGTGAGAGCCCAGGAAAACGACTAAGGAACGAACGCAGAGATCACTTCTATCCCGTGCCTAGTCCGTAGTCTAGCTCCCGTTGAATTAGTTATCTTCGCATGGTGCGGTGAGCGTGGAAGGCACCGCAACAATATCTTCAGTATAGCCGACTTTGCATTTACCTATTGTGTTCGTGGGCCGGCAGCTGTGTGAGCGTCAGTATGGTAAGCACCGTAGGTGACACAGTGGTGGTGGGCACCCTGGACGCATGGCTGGAGGATCTGAGGAGACGCCATGCGGCTTGTGAGTATCGGTAGACGCTCCCCTGGGCGGTCGTCGAGGCTCGCATCCGTGCCGTGTGGGCGACGGAGCACCCTTTTCAACCTGGTTCTCCTCGATCGGTGAATACTGCAGGCGGCGTCGACGTGGGCGACAACGTCGTTGGTGACCAAGTCGGCAGTAGTGCAGGAGGCACGTCGGAGTAGCAAAGTTTGATTCACGCCGATGAAGTCGGCGGCGTTCAGGCGAGAGGGATGCAGTCGTCGGCGGCTGCAGGGTCCTCGTAGCGTGACGGTGGAGGTCGACGAAGCGGATTGACGCTGTCGTTGGCGACTCACGTTATAGCGGATAGGATAGCGCCGACCTACAGCTACTTCAAGTTTATGTTGGATAGAATATCGGTCACCCCCCTGCTGGTAGGTCGTCCCGACATCCTCACGTGGAAGGAGGCGATCGAGCACCAGCTAGATATGGCCAAGCTGAAGTGCTTCGCCGACGGCCCCGTGGCGACGCCGTCGAAAAACAACCCCGAGCTGCGTGTGGAGTTTCGGTCGTGCGGCTGCTGACCTTCACGGTCATCTCGTGGTGCTGCTCGCCGGGCGTGCTGCTCGCCGGGCGTAAAGATCGCCATGAAGCCATGCAGGGACTACTTGGACGTCGGCGACCAGGCGTGGCACTTCATCGAGTCGACGCACTAGGTCACTGACTACCTGTACATCGGCCAGCTTGAGGAGCAGATGACACATCTGCGAATGGGCGACCAGGAGACAGCGTCCGACTACTGTAATCGTTCTCGGCGACTGCTCGCCACGATGAGGATGGCGCATCCAGTACTCCATGTCGTCATATGTCACGCACGTCTTGAAGGGGCTCCCAAGCAGCTACAACCTGATGAAGCAGATGTCGGTGGTGCTGAGCACGCGAGCGACGCTCAACGAGGACTCCCTGACCTCGTACATCATCAGGGACGAGGCAATGCAGGAGGCCAAGCGGTCCATGGAGCTCCTGCCGTAGGTGAACTACGCCGTCCCGGCGAAGCAAGGTGGTCAACCGGGTCAGCGCGGGAAGTCTGGCGGCAAAGGAAGCGATGGTGGACGGCCGGCCAAGGATGCCGACAAGACGAAATCGACAAAGGATGGCAGTCGAGGAGGAGGTCGGTGTCGGGAGTGCTGGATCTACCACAACCCGGACCACCTATCCTTTGAGTGCCCCGACCGCGATAATTCCAACGACGACGACGCCAAGTGAGGTCGCGGGAGGTCGGCCAGGAAACCAGCCGCGCAAGGAGAAGTAGTCGACCTCGGCGAACGACGCCGACTCCTCTGCTGGTGGCAAGGGGCGAGACGGCAAGGAGGCGTCATGCTCGTTGGTCGGCGTCGTGGAGCCAACTATCTCGCTGGCGCTGGAGGCAGGCGAGGATTTCCAGCCGGTGGCAACAGCTGTGCAGGCGAACCGGGCGGTGGTCCTGCTCGATAGCGGCTGCTCCCACCACCTGATGGGGACGAAGGAGGTCTTCGTCGACCTACAGCCGGGCGACAACGTTAAGCACGTGCGTGGCTTCAATGGAGCGCTGCAGGATGTCTAGGGCCGAGGCACTATCGCTTTGCAAGG